TATCAGAAAAAAACTAATCGTAAACTTAAATTAGAAAACGATGTGAAATATACAATAAAAATAGATAAAATATGTAAATATTGTGCACGTGTGGGCGAAATATGCAAAAATATGCTCCTATATGTGAAATATGCAAAAATGCTGTAACATATAGGGTTCAAAATGCATAATTTCTTATGAAATAAATTTGTATTCAGTTTATTTCTTTATTAGTCAAACAAAAAAAAACATGCCTTATGCATATTTTGGTTACCCTAGTTATCAACGTTCATTGTGTTTAGTAGTCGCAATTAGTAGTCCATGTTATTGAAAATTTAGTTGAAAAAATTGAGTCAATCGCACGGAGAGTATAAGTACATATTCTGTCAATTGATACAATGGATTATAAATTATGACTTTAATACTTTTATAATTGTAACATAACATTTACTTGCGAATTATTCTATTAATCTATTAAACGCATATTGAATGCATGTTGCTACATTAAAATTTTTCTAAACAAATGTATGATAAACAATATTAAATTTCATAGGACTGTATATATGATGAAATGTATGATAAGTTCTTTAAATGTGTAGGGTAAGATACCATTTTGAACAAAATAAAATTTGAATCCAATTTTCGGTTCAACTTTGGTAACTCTCTCATTGCGTATAGAATACCAAATAGAAAAAATCAAACTGAAACTTCGAAAATTGGATTCCTATTTTATTTTGTTCAGAATTATATCATATTCGAAATTGTACCATCTTACTCTATATAATCATAAATGTATGCTACATCATATTTTCTTCATTGTTAAAAGATTTTACTTATATGAAGATATTTACTGATGTTTAAAGATGTTAAAAAGCATGACGCAACTTTATTGGTGTAGGAATCATCATTAATTTTCTTTTGATTTTTTATTACAGCCTACAATTTGACCCAGCACCAAGACGTGGAGAACCACATGTTACCAGGCGAACGCCAGACTACTTCCTCTAAAGAACTAAACTTCAAGGCTAAGTGTCAAGGTAGGAGAATGGAAATGCGACTTTATAGTGACGCCAGACAGCATAACTTTCAATAGAACATCGCTAAATGAGAGGCTCCGACATGTTTTCACACATACCACATATAGCCTCAAGTATTATATCGTGGCTCACTTTGTGGTGTCTCATTGAGAGATAGAATAGATTACACGCACATTCTGTGCGTGCCTTACATGATACATGTAGACACAACATTACTTGTACACTGAAAAGGAAAAAATAATACAATAATGTACACACGTATCGATTAAATTCATTTGTAGCATTGAGTTTTACAACTTTTATTATATCCGCTTGTATTTTTATTATAAAAGAAACTGAATTTATAATAATGCACACGTTTGCGCGCAATAGATAGAACAAAAATAACGATAAAATGGTATTGTTTTGTAATCTTGAATGAGAATATTATAAAATTCGTTGAGAAAAATTTATAACTAGGCAACATTGTGTGTATTTTAAACGACGGTTCGTTCTAACGAAGTTGATTGTCATACAAGATTTCAAGAAAATATACCAAAATGGTTATAATTTATATTTAAGAGAGTGTCACGTTATTATTGGTGTGAATGGAGCATGAGATGTTCCACTTGAAGAAAATGCAAGGTGAGTTGATGCAACAGTAAATTGGCATGCATAAATTGTGCCATATAAGGATTCAATAAATATAATTTCCAAGTATAAAGTTCATTAAAAAATTTCATATGGTATTACACATACGAATTCATCAGAATCATGATGAGCAGTCGTTTTGTCAGAATTAGAGTTGCTTCTACACAGTATTTATTATTTTTAAGCAAATGTACATTTTTATTTAAATAGTACCTTTTTGAAGTCCTCAAAAGGTGAATGTAAATCTCGTTCTCGTCGATGTAGCTTTCTATCTATTAATGTATCTGTAACATTATTTTTGCGAAATAATATACGTCTGTATAATAAAAAAAATCGAAGAGAATGATGTCTACATCTGCATTTGAAATGTTTTTACTTTATTTAGGCAAAATAGTTATATTTAATACTGTACATAAAATTTAGTTGATTTGACTTACTTTTATATTATAAATTTGTCTTGTAATGTTAGACTGCAATATAAAATTGAGCTACACAGATTGATGATTAATCGTAAAAAAAAATACGACACTTTTGCATCAATTCTATCTGCCTTCTAAAGTGAAACACATACTTTATATCGAGAGAATCTATGCATTCATCATGATTAAATTAAAAAGAAAATTGTTTGCTTGTAAACTTATCGATGATCTTTTTACTTATTAATTAATGGATATAAAATTAATTAATGGATATGATGCTTCTGATAAATAAACATGTGTAATGCAAGCCAAAGCAACCCAATGTCAAATTTTATATTCAATTCTATGTTAAATACAAAAACAATTTGTGTACACAATGAACAGTTAAAAAAGAAACATATGAAGATATATTTATAAAAAATAAGCATTACAATTCGAATATAATGCATAATGAAACAAATATAATACCGATGACGAAGGATGACAAGGCGAACGTGAAATGTGTTAGATGCACATTATAGCAATTAACTAAGACTGTAAAATCCATATACAGCATAGGATTCAGCGCGGAGTTAACGCGAGCCTTCTGCACAACGCAGGCTGAGCATTTTTTCTTTTTTTCCGTTTTCTATTATACAATATACATAATATTCTCTAGACTACAATAATAATAAATTTTCCTATAGAACAAAAATGCACTTGTAGTATTATATATATGATGCGATGGAATTTGAAGATATGGTGAAGAAATAATAGACATCAGCAATTATTATAACTAATTTTATATCTGCTCTATTTATTGCCCTTTTATTGCATACATCGATGAAATCCTCATACAATGGATGAAATTGATATAAAATACTGAAATTTTATTATATGTATATATATATATATATACTATATAAAATATATATATACACACTCGTCAACAAATCGCATAGGTAAATTTATATTAAAATTTCGCATAAATTTAAATAAGCGTAACTCCTCGAAAAATGGTCGCATTTAAGTTTGCTTTTTTCATTTTCAAGGATAAAATCTGTTTACGAAGCTTTCAATGGATTTTAAATCTATCTTTACTCCTACCTGGCATCTTCAATAATAAGGACGTTTTTTTTTTAAATTTGTATAGTTTGACGCACTCTGCAGAGTAAATTTTTTTCGCAAATGTCATGATAACCGTAAAGTATGGACTTTTCTCGTATAAATTAAAAAAATATTAAGCTTTATGATTTTTTTTTCGAGGAGATACAGTGTATCAAACTTACCTATGCATTTTATTCAATTACCGCCAGCATTAGCATTACCCGATGCGTATCACGGGGAGGTTGCTGGTCCGATTTTACGTGCGTGCGTAGTGGAAGTATGTGGGGGTATATTTGCTCTTACTGTGTATTTCCGTCTCGTCTTCGGATGACCTCTTGTAAACGTGCACGCATATTGATGCAAGCTCTAATTGAAGCCTGAGAAATTTCCCATAACATTCGATGCAATGCTGCACATTTAAAATCCATGTTAATCCAAATTAAGCCATTTTTACAAATCAAACGTGTATTAACGAAAATCGAAACTTTGATTTAAAAAATCGTTCACTAGCGACCTCCAAATCTTAATATTTTTTGATAAAAATTTAGGGGTTTTTTGGCATGAAATGGAAGCTTTTGAACTGAGGTCGATTAAAAAAAATTTTTTTTTTCTTAGTCTAATATATACATATATATGTATGTATAATATATACAATATATATATATATATATAAAATATTGTATTTCGATGAAAACATGCATAGTATCATAATAACTACTTGAATATTATTTTGATTTTATATTGGCATGAAAAATACAGGAACGCTATTGTACAAGGTGTGCCCCATTTTAACGGAAACAAATACTTTGAAAACGAAAGAATTTACACAAAAATGGTTTATACAAAAATTTAGTTTTATTTCTCATTGATGTATTATTCAAAATGTGATGTCGTTTCCTTTAATAATCACCTTTTTTTAAAATAAAACTATATTTTTTGACAATAATTTTAATACATTGTTTTATAACTTTGTAAAAGAATTAAGATTATCAAAAAATAAACGCTTTATAAACTATTTTATATATTTTATAGTGATATATTTTATAAGATTAAAATAATTTTTTAATATCTCTGTTAATGTAAATTTTGCATAGATCGTTTTGTGTAAATTCACTTATTTTTTAAATATTTGTCTATTCATTAAAATAGAACTCTGTATTCTTGGAAATCCATTTATGCATTGAATATTTTTTATTGATTTAGTTTTGATTTAATTAACCCGGCGTGAGGTCGGATATCTCATACCCAGACATTTTTAAAACAAATATTTTTGTTATTGTGTTTCGTGGAACTCTGCTCTCTTAGTAGCTGAAGGGAAGGGTGCGGAGAGGGGTTTGCATTTTTACGAAATAATTATAACCTAGCGTTTAAGTGCAAAAATAAATAATTTCAAACACAAAACTGTTATTTTATTATGTTGATACGTTTAGGACATCCAGGAGAAAGTAATATAATATAATAACGAATCATTATATAGTATTATTATAAGCAAAATCTTTGAATAAATATGTGGGTATATGATACCCACCTCATAGTCATAGAAGGCGAGGGGGGAGGGAAGGTTTCATTTTAGATTTAACTTTATAGAAGTTTATATCGTTAATTCAAATACATTACAATATGTGTGGAGCAAACTTTATATATCTTAATAAATGGAAAATTTTTTGTGATAGCTTTTGTAATTTTTTAACTTATCTGAAATAATATTTAAATCGATTTTACACATGGTGAATATAGAATTGGGCCATTATGAGCATGCAGTACTCTCTTAAACTTTACGCGATATGAGCTTTATTTGGATATTTTAATTTAGCAAATCTGATATTACACACAGATAAGTCCAGATTTGCGAAAAGAAACAGAAAAATGCCATGAATGTATGATTATATAATGTCATCTTATTAAGGAATTAGAGAAATAGAGGTATTATCACATTTAGATAAGGTTTTTCTTACACTCTATATTCACAATATTTTGCAAAAGATACAATATTTAGTATATAAAACTTACTTTCTATGTATGTTTTTATTCATTTTTTAAAGTATTATCTTGTACATATAAAAGAATTATATGTTTGGATTGATTTATTATTTGATACTTGTATTTACGTTACGCAAAAAGAACATAACATGTATAAAGATAATACTTCATCAGTATTTCTGATATTTTATTAATTCAGCATTTGCTACTTGTATTTATTACGTTACGCAATAAAAAAATAGGTAATGTATATAAAGATAAAACTTTATTAACATATCTCTGAGTTATGTATATAGATAAATATACTAGAATATGTATATAAAAATATTAATTTTTTTTGTTTCTTAGAAAAATATACGATTTTGTCAATGTATACAATAATGCATATTACCCTGTTGCAAATTCTTACAAGAAAAATTCTTGTGAGATCTTTCAAGAGAATTTTCACATTCGAATTTCGGACAGGAATTACAAGATCATATAAGAATATATCGCATACGATACCTATAGGTAATTCGAGAATCTTACATGAATCTTACACCCATGTTACATGAATCTTCCCTATAAGCGCAAAATGTTCTTAGAATGTTATATGGATATTATTAAAAAAAAATTAAAATAATGTTATAATATTTCGAGGATACCATATAAAAAGTTAATATGCCTTCATATTAAATAATATTTTGCGCTTGTAAGATTATAACCATATTACATGACTTTTACACTCATGTTACATGAATCTTGAGCGCAGATTACGTGAATCTTGCGCGCATGTAACGTGAATCTTGCAAGAATATAATTGGAGTGTCATTATGAAAATATTACAAGAACACTATTGGAATTTTGTGTGATTTATTGCTCGTATCGTAGTAAATAAAATAGACAAGCAAGGAGTTGAATGGGATTTAAAAGAATTCATTTTGGCTAAAAATTAATTCTTTTTACACAAATTGAATAACGCTTTTTGACGAAATCAAACTTAATTTGGGAAAGGAGCATAAAAAACCTGTGCTAGTTATTATAGCGAAATTATAATTTATCAATTTAAGACAGTGATAATATATTCAGTCATCTTCAGTATACTAAATTTTTTAATTTTTCTTCATTCTTTTTCATTTCATATATTCAATCCAGTTTCTGTTCATTTAATAATTCCATTTCGTTTATTGGGATGATCGATACCTTTATTACTTTGGAGCGATCACGTAAAGAAATTATTTGTTAAAAGTATCTTATTAGGCTAAAGTAATTAAAATCTTTTCATTGTGATATAAATCGTGTATGATTCATGCCAGATTCCTACACCAACTTGAAAGATAAATTATTTTGTAACTATATATTTTTTAAGACTGACAATCTTTCATATAACACTTAGGGCGCGTTCACATCTTGACGGAAAAGCAGTGGCTAATGACAACTCGCGCTGGTAGTAAGTAGGCGAGTTCTGATTGGCTGCTGCTTTTCCGCTTTCTGCTTTTTCCGTCAAGTTGTGAACTCGCCCTTAGGGTGCAGTCACATGGAGTCAGAAATAGCGGAACGGAGCATCAACGGAAAAGACAAATGATGGGAGTTAACCAATCAGAACAATTCCGTTACATTTTTTCGTAGCTGGGTTTCACATGTTGAGAAATATATTTACGGAACGGAACTAAACGAACCGAAATAACCTCAATGACACGATAGTGGATAGCATCCCAGTAAACGAGAATGGATTAAAATGGATTGAAATTTTTTCTATCCGAATGCGTATTTTAAATAGCGAGTACTTTTTTTGGATTTAATTGGATTCAATTGGATTCAATTAGATCCAATTGGATGCAATTGGATTGAAAAACTGCATTTCGTATTCAAAATTTGAATTGAATAGTATTCACAATGCACAGAAAAAGCTGATATCCTGTAAAGAAATTATTTTTTAAAAGTTTCTTATAAGGTTAAGGCAATATCTTTTCATTGCGATATAAATCATCGTGTACGATTCATGCCAGATTCTTCATTTTAGATTCCTAGGTCAGTAAAGATTAGTGGTGAAATTCGTGTATGCGCGAGTGCAGTGGCGTTGTATTCGTTGTGTGGCTGTGCGCACTTGTCAGTGCGTTCTCTGCCTCTTTCCTCGAGGTGCTTCCTGTCACCGTACTATTCTTTCAAATTTGTTTTTCGATGGCATCCCCCGAGTCGAAATCGCCTGAACAGTCGGAGAAAAATCGGAAATACGATCGCCAGTTGAGGTAAGCTGATCAGTTGAGGTAAGCACAAGTTGTGTTTTGAGGTTACGACTAACAACTGTAACTAACTTATCTTTCTGGGTTTTTAATAAAAGAATTTTGACTCACTGTTTTTAACTTTAGTTACTTTCTTCTTAAAAGTTCGTTTTTTCTCTTATGTTAGATATATAAGATATTATTATGACATTTGATTATCTGATCTTTGTTCTTGATAGATTATGGGGCGACCATGGCCAAGCATCTTTAGAAGCTGCTCATGTCTGTGTCATAAATGCCACTGGACTTGGCACAGAGGTACTGAAATCACTAGTGCTTCCAGGTATAGGAGCGTTCACCATAGTTGATGGCAAAAAGATCACTGAGGAGGATATCGGGACTAAGTATATACACAATATCTTACATTGACAGAATCTCAAAATGTGGCTCAACTCAACATATTAAATGGATTTGGCTCAGCTTTTTTCTAGAAACTGATAGTGTTGGAAAATCCAGAGCACAAGTGGCTACTCAAATGCTCTTGGAAATGAATCCAGATGTGACTGGCGATTATATCGACGAAGAGCCTGAACAAATTTTATCCAACAGCCCAGACTTTTTTAATAGCTTCACCGTAGTTGTGGCGACTGCGCTGACTGAAAAGTAAGAATAGCAATTGTAGATTATATTCTATGATGAAACTGTATGATACATATTTTTTAAGTGTTTTTAGTATTAGGATAAAATATAATAATAAATGTGTTCTTGGGAATACTTTTAGAATATTGATTCTTCTGTCGAAAAGACTTTGGGAACTGAATATTCCTCTGATAGTATGTAAAAGCCTAGGCTTTGTTGCATATATGCGGATTCAAATAAAAGAGCACACAGTTGTAGAAACCCATCCGGACAATGAAACGCTAGATTTACGTCTAGACAGGCCGTTCGATAGCTTGAAGAAACACATAGATTCCATAAATCTAGATGAAATGAGTTTTAAAGATCATTGCCATGTACCATATTTAATTATCTTGTACAAATATTTAGAAAAATGGATTTCTGAGCATGGCACTTTACCGACAACTTACAAAGAGAAACAGCAGCTCAAAGATATGATAAAGAGTGGCATGAGGCGCGATGAACACGATTCATCTAATAGTGAGGAAAATTTTGAGGAAGCTATGAACTCTGTAAATAAATGTTTAAGAGTGAGCGATATTCCCGATAGTGTTATAAATATTTTAAATGATGATCGTTGCGTTAATTTGACAGCGAAGGTATCAATAAAATATACTAATATTGTTTATATATGATTCATATACCATTTGAAAACTGATCGGTATATTTTAGAGCAGCTCTTTCTGGATTATTGCGAAAGCGGTGCGGGATTTCGTCGATAATGAAGGAAAAGGACTGCTACCACTTAAGGGTAACCTGCCCGACATGACTGCGGATACTGAAAAATACATTGTACTCCAACAAATGTATAATATTAATCCTGAAATAACAATTTATATAGAATGACGATGCACAAAAAAGTAGCTCAGTATTCTGTATCAATGCAAATAAGAGTATTTTATTAATAAGTTTATTATCCAAAATATAACAAATAAATATTTTAGATATAATTATTTTACATTTAAAAAGTTATTTAATTTTATTCATTACTTTAATTAATATATATATATATATATATAGTTGTAGAAATAATAATTTAAAAAGAATATTTAAACTTTTGTTTAATTAATATTAATGTACTCTAAGATGCAGTACTTTTTCGTGCATTACTTTCAATCTGTTCTTGTAAACCAATTGTACATTATAATCCAATCTATTTTAGTTACCATAAACAAGCAGCAGCAGATGCAGAAGCCATATGGAGACGCACTCTACAATTATTACGACAATTGGGAAGATCGTCAGATTCGATTTTAGAAAAGGATGTTAAGCTATTTTGTAGACACGTCGCTAACATTCACGTAGAAAAAGGAAGCTGTATCGCAGACGAGTACGATCCTAAAGTTTTTGATACTAATATAATAGGTAATTGCCTTTCAAAAAAATATAAAATAATAATTTATAATTTAATTTATAAATCATAATCATGAAACAAGTAATGTTTTTATATGTACAGTAGAACCTCATCCGAACCTCGATTTTCCGATACGCGTGTAACTTCAAATGGCTATGCATTTATGTTCCTGTTTGCATATATCATGTGCGCATATTATACCTACATGATCTGAAGAGCAAGTTGAAACAGATTACTTAACCATAGTCATGAATTTTAACGATTAATATCTCGGTTCGCGGAGTAGAGCGACGCTTTTTTCTGCCAAATTCTTTCTATAAAAAAAGAAACTTATCAAATAAACCTAATTTCATTGATTTTTTTATCTTAGGCGATTTTTTTATCTTAGGCGATTTATCTAAATTCTAAATAATTATCCATGTTTTTTAAATAAAATAAAATATAATCCTTGATTATCCGATTTTCACGATTATTCGATCTAATTCAGGTCCACTATAGATCGGATAATTGAAGTTCTACTGTATAATAATAAAAAGAATTTAAATTATAACTGTAATTATAATATAATAAGAAAGAATTATAATTACAACTCTATATAATTTTTTCTTGTAATTAGTAACTGTAAGTATATATTGCTCTTAACAACTTTACAATTTTTTACAGTTCAAAATTTAGAGAATCCAGAGAGTATGATGATTTATTATGTCATGCTCCGGGGAGTTGATAAATTCCAGGCAGAATATAATTCGTATCCCGGCGAATTTGATGATCAAGTGGAACCCGATATCGTAAAGCTTAAAGTACTACTTTTTTTTTATATGTATAACGTAATTACTTACAACATAATTATAATAGTTTTACAATCACATCATATTATAGACATGCCTCACAAAGCTGTTGAGCGAATGGGGATGTGGTCCGTTAGCCAAAGACGATTACGTGCACGAGCTTTGTCGATTCGGTGGTGCAGAATTGCACTCCGTTTCGGCATATTTAGGTGCGCTTGCAGCGCATGAAACCATCAAGCTCGTCACGAACCAGTATAAACCTGTTCATAATACTTTCATCCATGATGCCGTCACATCGAACTCCGGAACGTTCTTCTTCTAAAACCGTGAATTGTTTAATGTGAAAAGAAAAATCTATGCTATATTAAAGTGATAATACAATCGTATAGCTTATATTAATTCTTTATGGTTCTTTAAATTGTTTCGAATTAAGACGAATAATTTCTTTACGAATATTAACGTTGCTTTTGTTTATTATTCCCATCATTTCTTTATTATTTGCATCATTGGTAAAAATGTAGTCTAGGAGAGCCCCCCCAATGACCTTAACCTTGACATATGTTGTCAAGGTCATGACCTTGAATGACCTCGAGAAAGTTTTAATCGTCGAACGTTACTTGTTAAAAAGTTATAAACAAAAGAAGTTTAAGAAATAACATCTTTCTACTCTCTATATGAAACAGAAATTTTCTGTAAAGGTACCTTTTCATGCTGACGCTCGACGTTCGACGCTCATTTTTGGCGTCAAAATAAGTCACGTGATAGAAATTGACGGATATCAAGCGCCAATTTTGATCACATGACCTATTTTGACGCTGAAAATGAGCGTCGAGCGTCAGCATAAAAAAGCACCTTTATACTTGAGTTGGAATAATAAAAGATGCGTATCACTTAGATTCTATTCGAGAAGCACGTATATCTTTAGCACCTATTTTACCTTTTTTTTTTTTAGAAAGGTAATGGGTGCATTCGGTACTACGACCGCTCACTGAGCGATTGTAGTACTGAATGCATCCAATCTTTCATACGAATGATACATAAAATTTTGTGGAATTTAACTTGGCGCTAGTTGTTATAATATCAAATCTTTTATACGAATGAAATGCATGTTATTAGAGTTAAGTAATAAAGATATTACCATTTAGGTTTTGCTTTTAATATATGTCTTAGTTAGTTAAGACCATCATTTTGATTTTAATTTTTAATTTGGTACAATAGTTTTTTTCGAAGAGTAATAATTTTTGACAGAGCATTAAAGCTGTCATTACTTCCTTGACGGAAAAAAAATTTTTCCGTCAAGTTTGTACGAAAAAGTACAGAAAAACTACATATATTGAGACAAATGCTTAAATTCTAAGCAGAATCGTAAAGCTCGTAACATATTCCTGTAAGACTTGTAAGAATTTTTAAGTGCTTATAGTTTTATACAATATTTTTACAGACAGCTTCTCACTAGTCATAAAATTTATTAAAAATTGTAGATATTTACGAATAATCGTACGTCTTACAATACATACTCATAAAATTAGAATACTGGTCATAAATTCTTACAAGTTTTACGAGAACACGTAAAGCTTCTACATTAGTCACATCGCAGCGTCGCAAGCGTTGCGGTCTAATCAACAATAGAGTGAGTATAAAGAGAGTGAAGCCAATTAACCGGAAGTCGCCATTTTACGACAAATATTTAGGACGTAATTCCTCAACTTTACCTTTTCTTTTTCTAACTAAGAGTTAATCGTAAAATGGCGGAACCAATCAGGAAAGAGAACCAGGATTGGCTTCACTCTCTTTATATCCACTCTAATCAACAACAATCTAGCTCGACTTTGATTGGACCACAACGTTTGCGACACGCTCTATCGAGGGCCACTGCCACCAAGCTCAGTTAACTTTGAAAATTCGACGCGGTAACCAATGAACATGTTAGGAACTGTAAACTTATTGGCTACCGCGTCGTATTTTGCCGCGCGGTAAGCGTTTCCGCGTCCAGTGTGCAGAAGCCATTAGGCCCTGCGCACAATAGAGGAAATATTAGGAACAGGAATAGATATTAAGATTTTAACCTATCAGATACCAGTTACACCGGAATACACGGTTTCTGATAGGTTGAAATCTTAATATCTATTCCTGTTCCTAATATTTCCTCCATTGCGCGCAAGGCCTTAAACAATTTTAAACGATCAGAAATCGAATACATCGGAATGCACGGTTTCTGATAGGTTGAAATCGTTTATTCTTTATTCCTAATTCCTTCTATTGTGCGCAGGGTCATACAACCGTATTGTCTTTTGCTTTTTAATATTATTGCTCCAAATTTTTGATAAATAGTTTGAATTTAATACAGATGTAATGCAAGTCTGAGTTTAGTACAAATTCATTGTGTTTGGCAAAATACAAGCCATTGTTTTTTTTTTTTTTTAGGTTAGGATGATAGAAATTTGAATGAACAATTAGAAACAACCTCGAAACAACGACCGATACTTGACACATCTCTGGTATCGTTTGAGATTTGTATTTGTGATATACTTAAAGAAAATATAAAAAATGACATCTATTATAAAACTTCACGCTATCTCTGGAGCGATGAATGAATCTCCACCTTGCTACATATTGCAAGTGGATGAATTGAGGATATTATTAGATTGTGGATGGGATGAAAATTTCGATCAAGATTTCATAAAAGAATTGAAGAGGTGCACATGCTCATAAAAAAATTATTATTGTAACAAAAAACTTATATATATTTTCATGAAAAAATTTGTTATTGTAACACAAAAAATATTTTATTAATTTTTGTATATTTATTCCTTTTATTTTTTATATTTCTAGACATGTACATCAAATAGATGCGGTATTACTTTCATATCCAGACCCATTGCATTTAGGTGCATTACCGTATCTAGTAGGTAAATGTGGCTTGAATTGTCCCATATATGCTACCATACCTGTCTATAAAATGGGTCAAATGTTTATGTACGACATATATCAGGTGTGTTCCTTTAATACTAGAAATGTAAAAAATTATATTAAATCAATACTAATATTTTAGTTTGTTATTTATATTGATTTCAGTCTCGTCATAATATGGAAGATTTTGATTTATTTACTTTAGACGATGTTGATGCTGCATTTGATAAAATTGTACAGCTAAAATACAATCAAAGTATATCAATGAAAGGTAAAGGCTATGGTGTTACATTGACGCCCTTACCAGCAGGACACATGATTGGTGGGACAATTTGGAAGATCGTGAAAGTTGGGGAAGAGGATATAATATATGCTGTAGATTTTAATCATAAAAAGGAACGTCACTTGAACGGCTGTGAATTGGAAAGATTGCAAAGGCCGTCATTATTGATAACAGATGCATTCAATGCTACATATCAGCAAGCCAGACGAAGAACAAGGGATGAGAAATTGATGAGTAAATTTCATATTTTTTATTTTATTCTTTTTCTAAAATTATAAATTAAATGGATAAATGGATAAATGTAAAAGATGCGTTTTCAACAAATATGTATTTTCAATTTGCATTTGTGTTGTTTAGCTAATATCCTGCAAACATTACGAGGTGGTGGAAATGTACTAGTTAGTGTAGATACGGCTGGTCGTGTATTAGAGTTGGCACATATGTTGGATCAGCTGTGGCGTAATAAGGAATCGGGATTACTTGCCTATTCATTAGCTCTTCTCAATAACGTGAGCTACAATGTTGTAGAATTCGCAAAATCGCAAATTGAATGGATGAGTGATAAATTAATGAGAAGTTTTGAAGGTGCACGTAACAATCCATTTCAATTTAAACATTTGCAACTTTGTCATAGTATGGCTGAATTGAATCAAGTCCCAAGTCCAAAGGTAAATTAAAATTTTATATAATTCTTAGATTTGATTTGAAGATTAATTTCAAATTGTTATATTTAGGTGGTTCTTGCAAGCACTCCTGATATGGAATGTGGATTTTCCCGAGAATTATTTCTTCAATGGTGTTCTAATCCACAAAACAGTATTATATTAACGAGCAGAACATCTCCTGGTACACTTGCTAGAGACTTAGTAGAAAAAGGAGGCAATCGAAATATTACACTAGAAGTAAAGAGACGAGTGAAACTCGAAGGTATTGAATTGGAAGAATATCAAAAAAGAGAAAAGCTGAAGCAGGAGCAGTTGAAACAAGAACAAATGTATATATAATGTAGATCCATCTACCATTAAGTTATAACTTACATGTTACTAATTATACTTGTAACATGTGTTTTATTAGGGAAACTGCAGATGTGAGTTCCGAGTCTGAAGATGAAATAGAAGTTGGTGGTAGCAGGGGAAAACATGATTTACTAGTGAAGCAAGAAAGTAAACCTGGCTTTTTTAAACAAAGTAAAAAGCAACATCCCATGTTTCCATTTGTAGAAGAAAAGATTAAAATAGACGAATATGGAGAAATTATAAAGTAAGGATATTTTTATATATCACAAAATGTATTTAATCAATAAAAATGTCTAATAAAAGTCTAATTCTAATATTATATACATTAAGTCTTTTTTAAAAGTCTATATATGTATATATAAAATATTTTGTGTATATATGTATATATATATATATATACAAAATATTGTACATACATATGTGTTAAAACAATTATCTATATCTATGTATTTATATTTTTACAATAATCCATTGCTTGTTTATCTGTTTATTTTTATGAATAAATATGTACTTAAAATTATAAGTAAACTTATATATATATATATATATTCTACTTATTATTACAGACCGGAAGATTATAAAATAGCAGAGACTGTACCCGAAGTAGAAGATAATAAGGAAAATGTAGAAATGAAGCAGGATGAATCCAATTATCATCCAGAAGTGGCCGTAGATATTCCGACAAAATGTGTACAAGTTTCACGTACGATGACCGTTAATGCAGCAGTAACATATATAGATTTCGAAGGTAGATCCGACGGTGAATCTCTACAGAAAATTTTAGCGCAGCTAAGACCGAGAAGAGTTGTCTTAGTTAGAGGTTTGCCTAAAGACACAGAGATACTAGCGCAGCAAGCGCAAAGTACTGGTGCAAGAGTATTTATTCCAGGAAGAGGAGAGACGTTAGATGCCACGACAGAAACACATATTTATCAAGTAATTATCTTTTCTTAATTATCATTTCTATTAATATTAAGTGACATGATTCTAATTTTTCTTATTTTGTTTTTGTATTAATTATCGATAATTGAAAATATCACGCCATTATGTGAAATGTATTTTTTATTATAGGTACGTTTGACTGATGCTCTAGTGAGCGGATTGAATTTCTCGAAGGGTAAGGGCGACTCTGAAGTGGCATGGATAGACGCTATGATAACAGCACGTGATCAGGTTTGTCGAGATGCCATTGCCGATACTGAATCTGAGAATGCGATTGACGAAAGTGACAAAATACTGACTTTGGAACCTTTGCCATTAAATGAGGTGAGATATAACTGAGAGAACATAAAAATTCAATTTACATAATAAATTGTACTTTTACAGGTTCCCGGTCATCAAACAACGTTCATAAATGAATTGAAACTATCCGATTTTAAACAGGTTTTGAATAAAAGTAACATTCCATCAGAATTTAGTGGAGGAGTACTATGGTGTTGTAATAATACTATCGCCGTCAGAAGGGTTTGTTTTGTTTGTAACATCAGTAAAAACGATTTTATTCATATTGCATGTATATACATTTTGCACTTTTATTCAAAAATATATATTTAAAATATATTTACCAAAGTGTACAATTACTATAAAAAATATTGTAATTAGATAATTAATTATTATATTTATTTTAGCACGAGGCTGGAAAGGTAATATTGGAAGGTTGCATTTCCGAGGATTATTATAAAGTGCGAGAGCTATTGTATGAACAGTATGCAATTGTATAGATTATGCATAGTATACACATACATGTAAAGAGATTGTATTTATATAATAATTATAATAGTGTCTTTTGTGTCTTATTAATTTTCCCTTTTTCATTGGACAACATTTTCCTGGCTGCTTTTTTGCATTTCGTAAGAAAAATTTAGAACATAATTTTTATAATTGGCGCTTTTCCGGAAAAATTCTTGGGACTCTAAAATTTCACTATCCAGCAGCCAATCAGCATGATGAATTGACGCGCATCTGCATCAATACAATTCGCTATGATGCACATAGATATGATGATGAGCGTGTGATGCATGTGTAAATGTGTATGTAAGTATTTTTTTAACGTTATGTACTGCAAGTTAAGTAAATCATTAAAAGATAAATTGTACAAATTTATCTGCAATATCGTAATAATCTCGATTCATGTTGAAGACGTGATTACATCAAAGATCAAGAAATTTGACGTCGAATAAAACGGGCAGTTTATGGTTATGAGATATTTGCTGGCGAGGAATAATAATTCCAGCTAAAATAATGAGAAACAAATGATACAAACAGAGTAAGAAATACTTATAATTATATGCATGTAACAATAGTTACAAATATTATGAGGTTAGGTGACATATATTCATTTATTTTTCTTTCAGAATGATTTTTGGACATGATTTCGTAATGATTATGAAATGCAGTACGTAAGAAATTTATCTTAGTCTTTAGAAACAACGTTATATGAGATTAAGAATATAATCATCGACAATATGAGAAAATATTACCAAGCTGCTTTAGCTGTTACAGCGGTAGTAAGTCTCATATCTCTGCTCATCTATAGACATGAATATAACAAGTTGAGGTATGTCTTAGAAGTTTTTAATTATTTCGGGAAACCTGGGCCAAAAACAGCAGATGCTGCAGGTTGTACGAACTTTAGTACAACTTTCACCATATTCAATGCAAAATTTGATGAACCGATTCCTTCTTGGCAACGCCTGGAGGATGATTTGTACATATATTCTGCATACAGCATCAACGACAAGGAAATACGGGTAGTTGGACTTGGGACCATAAACAGTGTCTCAAATATGCAATGCCTTGTCTTCTTCGAGAATGAGAGTAAACCTATACTGGGGAGTTTCAGATTTATTCCCATTGGTAATGCAGTTACTTCAAGTCTAGGAGAAAATTCAAGATATGGAGGATATCATTTTGTTTGTACATACATTAGTGATGAAACTCCCACTGGAATAACATTTGTTACAAAGTCTAACAAATATCTTAATTATGCACCTATTTTTCCGATAAAAATACAGCCACAGAGCTTAAGCCACAGCAGGATAGGAGTATGTGTAACACAATCATCAATGAAGCCAACAAAATCAATAGATATGATAGGCTTCATCAGCTTCCATGCAGTGATCGGTATGGATAATTTCATCATATATGATTCTGGAATTTCAAATGAATTTAATAGTAGACTAAAAGAAATGGCAAACGATCCAACTTCTTTTTGGAAGTTTACATATACTGTTGTACCGTGGAATTTCCCTTTCATGGAGATCGATCAAAATATCATAAGAGAAATCATTGAGACAGATTGTTTATATCGTACATATAATAATGTTGCTTATGTTATTGCTCTCTCCTGGAATGAGTATGTAAACTTAAAGTATCATCATGCAATGATTGATTTATTGGCAGATTTTAAACAAACCAAATTAATAGCTGATCGCTACAAGCTCAAAACTATGACTTTTTGCACGCAGCAAGCTGACAATAAACAATATGCCAATTCTACACTGACAGTATTGAAGAAGACTAGAACCGATATAAACATTCTAGAAAATCGTTCTATTTACATACACAAGCCATATGTATCATTACAGAATTCTCATGTGCATGTAAAAGAGATAGGAAATGATTTGATTGCTATGAATCAATACATATATTGTGATAATTATAAAGAAAGTCTAGAAGTAGAAGATCTTACAATTTTGAGATTTGCCCAAGATATACAAAACTCGTCAATCCTTAGAAAATATCTTGGACTTTACAAGGTGCTCGATGCAGATATAAAGTGATATGGAGTTTTTGTGTGACTAATATTAAATTAATATTTGCACAAGTTTGGATAATGCTCCACTTGCATACTATTTCATTCATACATAGATATTTCGTAATTATATGCCGTCTTTCATATTAGGTGCCTTAATCATCATAGTTATACAACTAGTCATAACATTATCAGCTATTTTAATATTTTGTACACATTTCAAGTTTTAAACTTAAGCTGTAATAAAGCATTCCTACTTGTTACTTTCAATTGTTTCACATCTTGTATTTTTATGCTGTAGTATAATTATATATAGCAGCCCAGACAACAAAAATCCAAGGAACACGAGACGTCTTATATAATATTTTTGCAAGAATTGTCTAAAAGACGTTCAGATTTTGGACTTTGCGTTATATGGGAGTGAAGTGTATTGACAACATACATTAAAACGCGGCAATTCTATTGGATATAAAAATTTTAATTAATGCTTATTGGAAATTAAATTAAAAACTTAGCATCTAGTTTTTAGATTTATAATAATTTTAAATATTGTTGAATTTTTAAAATTAATATACGCAATCATAGGAACTAGGTAATATACGGTAAAAGAAAAGAGAACATAGAAAAAAAGGTTCTATATTCCTAATAAAAATACATAGAAATTTTATTTTAAGCGATTTAACATATATTTGGTATCTAATCGTTACATCAATCTAAGAATTTAAAAAAAGTTTATTTCAGTCGTTGCATTATAGCCGAATTTTGTAAACCAGCTTCTTCAATAGTTTTATCTTCCGCAAGTTCCTTCGTTGGATACACAGTTAATAAACTGAAATCCCTTAGAGCATACTGAGGTCTCATACTGATATTATATGTTAAGAAAAACTCTTCTCTTTCAATCTTTCGGCTAACTTAGAAAAGATGTAAACACCATTAAAAACATTTTAAAAAATTAAAGGATACGTTATTATATATCGTCTAAGATCAGCGACTGTATGCAATAGGTTGAATTGAGCCTTTACAATACTACCGTCTGCAAGACGGATTTGTAATGTTGTAGTCGGCTTTGAAGCATCTAGATCCAATTCTTTTTTCGCTTGTGCTTCATTGGCAGCTTGATCAGCAGGATCTGTTGGAACCGTCATGCCCACAGTAGCTGGCGATGGACTGAAATATTTGTTATATTACAGAAATAAAATTTAAGAAATACAGAAATCAAATTCGAGATTATTTACAGAATCTGATTCCTAATGATAGTGAGATAAATCTTTAGCGTACCTTCCTAACATGTGCCCCTTTCCAGAAAAGGCTTTCACTTTGGTTTTCGGTGGAACATAAGTCTCATGACGATGATCTTCCATATCGAGTCGTACTTCTGCACCTTGTACCTGCTGACGAATCTCTGCTGGGATCTCACCTCGTTTAATGGCATCTAGAAAGTCTCTGTTTTCAGCCTCTTCGTACGATCGTATCTCACTATCATTTATTGTAAATCCATCCTTCCACAGTTTTAATATAATAAGACCGCTTGAAGATTGTTGATCTACGTTTGCTCCCATCACCACTATTATTACAGAATGTAATAAACATTTGTTTATCAACTTTGCGTCAATCTTTTGCAAAATAAACACTTGAAAATACCTTCGCTATCCGAGCTAGTTTGACCTAATTTATATCCCGTGCCTATGAACGTGTTCGGCCTTTGTTGGCCTCCTATTTTTGGAGGATCCGCAGCGATAGATTGCTCTTGACACGACTTGAATATGTCGCTGACAATATCCTTCTTCTTCTTTCCTGGTCCTAGAACTTGCTGTCCACTGTGTTCAGAACCACCTGCATAAAATGCCTGTCCCTCTTCCTCTTCAGAACTGCTGTCACTACCTTGAAGATCATTTAACGTCCCAAATCTGGGCTTAGATTTGGCACCCTTCGACTCCGTCGAGTCGGATTTCGTTTGCTTATTCGACATTGCGCTCGTATTATCCTCTGATCCTTCTGCTTGCTGTGATATATCGATGGTCTCGGACACTAGTTCAGCTGGCTCATCGTTTTCATAGAAACTCGTCAAGGCAACCTACAAAGAAAAACTACGTGCCAACGCGTGTGACAAGATTGTCAAAGAAAATTTCGACAATCTCATTACACGAAGAAACCTTACAGTGATACGACGGGTCAAGCTTCGACAAACTTGTAATCTTATATTCCGCCGGTAATGGTTACCGTCGTCACGAACTTATTGCGAGTTTATAGGAGCTACGTGAGAGCTACACGAAAGCGAATGCGTCAGGATACGACACGAGTGTAAACGTCAGGGAAGACGGCCGGGCCGCCGGGCAAATGATAAGCGTTATGACGGATGCGACAATAGGTTATAAAAATCTGGTGCCGAGATTATTGCGACAAGACGCCCGTGCGTTATTGCGGACGTCGCGTACGAACGAGAGAAGAATCTCGGTCCCCGATGCGTTTCGTAAAATGTGCTGTCTCACCTCGAGCTGCCAAGCGGATGACTCAAGGTAAAATAGCGCTCTCTCAGCGTCAACACCAGTTACGTCCGCGAATTGCGAGACCAACTCGTCGCGGCTCGCCATTCTCTGGAAATGTTAAAAAACTCACGATGTCTATTCACCGTTTTTTTTCCTCTCTCTTTTTCTCTCTTTCTCTTTTTCTTTTCGCTCCTTGCGACCCCGATCGCGACGAATCCACCCTGCGTGGCCGATTTTGCAAAAGCTAACGCACCTTTCACTCTACATACACTCTACACGTCAATTTTCTTGATCTGTCCGCCTGTCATTAATGTCCATTCCCCATTTCCCCCTCGTAATCAGTTCCGCGCGGAATTGAACCGGATGTAAAGGTGTAGAGGAAGTCCGTTCAAACAACGTTCCCGCATGAAGCGCGCTACCGCCCGCGTTTTGGAAACTGGTTTGTATCAATTTACGATCAGTAGATAAATGATTGAATAAATTCAAGGTTGGGAAGTTACTTAATTGTAACGTCGTTATCATTTACAATTGCTTTTTTCAGTAACAAATGGGTAACAACGTTACATTTTTTTATTTGTAACGTTAATATGGTTTAGCGGTTATTTTTTTTTAGGTAAACGAATTATATATATTGTCTAGCTGCATATCAGATACTATTCTCTCGAGCGAAAATATAAAAAGTGACAATTTTTATATATATATGTATGTATAAATATACAGGGTGTGTCCCGAATTTAAATGTCTAAACTTCGGGAGCGTGTAGAGGATCGATAAATTAAGAAAAAAGTCTTATAGAGATATGCTCGTGTTTGTTTCGTTTTGGAGAAAATCGCAAAAAAAAGACAAAACGTAGTTTTCATTTTTGTACTTCGTCATTTAGTTATAATTTAATAGTGCACAATTTTACAAAAATTACAGCAATATTCCTGCATTATTGAAATATTAATATTTTATTGGAAAAATTGAACAGTATTTTTTAAGGAGAATTAAAGTTACTGTTACTTGGTTGGAATAGGATTATCTATAATAGTAATACAAAAAGATATACGTTACGTATCACTTAGATTTTATTACTTTATTAATATAAATTAATAAAGACAGTACTATTTAGATTTTAATTTTTAATGTGGTATAATAGTTTTCTTTAAGGATATTTCTAACTTTTTAGCTACTTATAATTTTATATCGAAGTGGACTTAACGTTGCGTTTTGTGGCAGCCTTCCTCATTGTTCTCCAAACATTCGAAATAGCACACGATTATACAATCAGTAAATAATATTTTTAGAATTATTAATATCTAGATAAATTATTATAAAAAATGCCTTTAACCAAATAATCCAAATAATATAAATTGTTCTATAAAATTGCCCTAATTAAAATAATATAAATTAATTATTATGTACATTAGACTGATTGAGAGATTAGATTAGTTTGAGAACGAAATATCTAATCCTCACCCATTTGCGAGAAATAGCTTGGAACACACAAGAAATTATAAATTATTTCTCAACTTGGCAGAATAACGCTGTGCCACGTTTTATCCAATATATATGCGACTTATCAGTTTCCAAGGGTACGCTCGTAATGTAATTCTTCTTCGTATCACTATCTGTTCCGTCGCATCGCGTCGGCGAGATATATACAGGACACTTGTATATATCATCAATAATTCTCTTTTCTCTGTTAAATGTAAGCTGTATCGGTGGCATGTTATACCAAAATACGTTCGTCAAGCTTTCGATCAACATATGCCTTTGCGTATCCCATTGGGCGCCAGATAATTGTAAATCGTGAATGTAGTACTCGTCTTCGTCTCCCTCGCTGTACGTAAAATTGTCGTTTGTCACTTTAAGATTCAACGCGATTTGTTCGATGGGTATGCCATGTCGTCGCGAGAACGCGAGGAGAGCCGCGGATAAGAATCTCTTGCAGCAAGACAGCGCGTCGAAGTGGATCACACGAGGTAGATTGTTGTCACGCCAATATCGCACGAAGTTTACGCGCTTCAAGAGTAGATTGATGTAATTCGATAGATATCTAGTTGCAATGCCGACGTCGATCAGTCTCCAGACGCACGGAACTTCGTTATTGCATATTTCTCTTGACAGATCTTCCAAAGGTTCGATCAAGATGGTCTTGCCGTTCAATGCTGATTTTAAATTGCTCAAAGAATTTGCGATCATTGACAAAGTTTCGTTAATCAGTTCAGCCTCATGGATGAGAATCGCGTTTAATGGCTCGCGCGAGATCATAAGATATTTGTCTTTTATTTCGTTGATGTTAAATAACGCGGGCAATCTATTGCTAATTTCATCAATTGCTTGCAATGCCCGATCCTGTATAGCTTCGTGATCCGACGATCTGACTTGATCCAGGAGAGATATCGAATCTAGGAATTCTCTGGCGACAGCTGTGTCTTTTATAACAAGAGCATTCTCGTCGCAGGCAAAAGCTTCTGCTGATGCATCCAATTGTATATTGCTAATGTGCATGATGATATCGCGGTACTCGCATCTTTGCGGTACTGAATGATCAACGCAGTTAGAAAATGAGTATTCAGCGTTCTCAATCACGCGGGCATCACAGAAGGAGTCTAGCAGGTGTCGTAGGCATCTTTGATCAAGGCGATCCGTAATTTTCCCGCCATAGTTACACTCTCCGATTAGATAAAGCAACGTACCGAATGGTACATTCTCGGTTTCGTTGATTAAACTCTGTAGTTGTCTAATGGATATTTCAAAGTCTACGTGATCGAAATCGTACGGAATGTTCCAGCCTTGCGGTCCAAAGTGCCTTCTTTCTCTGACGATTCCGTGGAAAAAGCAAAGCCCGTATAGGAGTTTGGAGAACTCCTTGTCTTTTCCGGGGCATCCCTCAAAAAATTCTTTGCTTCTTATAGGTTCCGACCGGTACATTCTTAGCAAACTCTGTTTCAGCCGAAGTGGATAGTCATACGCGATCTTTACGCTGTTTTGCAAGATGCTGATCGGGAAGTACGGCGTGGAACAGCTGGAAAGCCACAGTCGAAAATCTAAAGATGTACCGGATCGATTCAGATTCTCGCAGATTCGCTCAAGTTGTGGTAACCATGAGGCGGCGTGATGACAGTTTTGCAAAAATATCCATCCTCCTTCTCTTCGTGCCCGCTCCACGAAGATTTCGGCTTTGGTCTGTTGTTCATCATCCATGGATAGAGAGACGAATTTTGAAGTATATCCTCTCGCGCTCGCGTACGTGGAAATAAGCGACAAAGGCGAGGCGTAACTAGGCAGGATAAATATAATCGGCGTGAGGCAATTGGATTCCGCGTAGGATTCGGATATCTGAAGGCTAGGGTAAGAATTGAACACGTCCTCCATAGTATTCTCTATTAGCCGCATTATTTCCACGATTATCTTGTCGTATCTTACGATTTTGATAAGCATCAGTTTCTGAAATCGAGTCAGATTGTTGACCCAGGAATTCGGTATTAGATCGCTTTGAAATGGTATCGCGGTGCAATATTTCTCCCAGGCTGCGCTATTGACACGAAAATCATTTGCAAGTTTGTATAAATTGGGCACTGCGCTGCTCAACCTGCAAATTTGTTTCCATTTGTTTATCGATAACCAATCTGGCGCTGGATCCAAAACCGTTTCATAATCCTCCGAGTCTGAAGATATAAAGTGATTAACTTCTTCCTGCGTAGTCTGCCGCGCGTCTATTAAAACTTTTACGCACAGCAAAAAGGAATATAAGAGCTTATGTTTCTCAAAGAGTGATCTGCAGACACTGGAATGAAGATTCCTCTTAAACGAAGACTTGAGAAACTGTAATCGTTTTTCAAGAACGATACTTCTGTTCGAAGTCTCAATAGAGGTAATGTACAACTGAATAAACCAGGAGAATGAAAATCGGTACATATGATTCAAATTGGATAGAGTAGTCAGTGTGCAGAACAAACCTGCACAGTGATTGGCGAATTGCAAGTATGCATCTCTGAACTTGTTAATGTCCTCTGTCATTGCCCTGGCTGCTTCTTGTTTCTTCAAGATGTCCACGGTGAGATTCTTGGAAGAATCTAAAATTTGTATTGCGTTTTCATCCTCCAGAATGTTTGTCGTGGTCGATGAAAGAGTGCTCAAGATATTGTTTTCTTGCTGTTGAAGAACTTTCTTGTTAGCGGCGTCTTGAAGACGGAGCGCTTCAAATTTCTCCTGAAGCTCCGGTTTCTCTTTCGAAACGACGATGTCCAAGAGTTTATCCTGAAGAGTTCCATCTAACATTGAGAAATCTATTATCGTGAGTTTTCCGAAAACGTCGACAGCATAATTTGGATCCGACAGTCTCGTGGTAATATAAAATCGAAAGTTTTGAGAATATCTTATAGATTTAGTTCCAATATCGATGTACCAATCTTCATTTTTGTAAATATTCTTCAACAGGATTGGTTCCAGTGCAATTTCGAGTTTCTCTCCAACATTTTCTAGCAGAACTGGGATACCAGTTTCAATGCTTTGTTCGATAACCGACATATAATCGGAATCCATCAGTTTAACGACTTTTAAGTCATTTTTCTTTTCCATTTTCTTGATCCATTGGTTTATTTGATTCTGCGAATCGATGAAAAGACACCACTGTTCGGAATTATTTAAAATGATGGCATTTTCCGTCGCGAAGCGATTTTTCGATAAACCGCAGAGTTGCCAATGATTGATCTCGATTTCCATGCCGAAAATATTTACGAAGTCGTACGTTTTAGTGTACAGTATTTTAAAAGTTTCCATAAATTCCTTCCACTTTATCAATATTTCATCGCGAAAAGAGATATTGTAAGACGCCATATAAGCCACTATTCCGCTTGAGAGTAACATGTCGCCAACAAGACTATCATAATTCATTTGAAGATTATGAGCACACTGCATCCAGTGGCTTTTCTCACCTCCCAGACTGGCGATTAGCTTTTCCGCCTTGACCAGCTTGGCAGTGCATGTTGCCACTTCCATTTCTAGATTCAATTTCTTCTGTAGTGTTTGCCGCAAACTATCATTCAGCGCTGCCAATTTTGCGTTCAAAGCGGCCAGGGTGTGTCGTTTCTCGTTTAAGAACGCCTCGGCTTCGTCGCACTCCATTTGCGCCTCTACCAGTTTCTTCTTCTTTGGTGCAACAACTTTGGCCACCTCGTCATAAGACACCATGGCGCGGACCCATTTGCAGAGACCCTCGGCGGCGCTGGACGCTTTCGCGACTATGTGAGGCATGAAACTGTTGTCCGTCATGTATGTCTTCTTAATGATTTGCATCACTGTGGGCGCTATATTGTCCTTGTCGTAGTCCTTCAAGTTCTGTAGGAAGTTCATG